GAAGACTAGCTGGCATGTGCGCTGGAAACTGGAATTTCATTTTCGGGGGCGCATATGCAGCCTGGCCAGCTCTTCTTCCGGGTTGCAGCCGAGATGAGCGCGCACGCTCCCTTTTTGGCACTCAGTACCGAAAAGGTTCGCCATCACTGCTCTATTCTGTTCATGCAGTAGGAATGCATGTTTGTCTTTTTTTTAATCTAGAAAATTTGTCACATTATATTTGGATAGTCTAATATGGGCTTTCCACATTTTTCTTTTCAATTTTTTAAAAAACTGTATAACTTCCTTTTATTCTTTGTTACATATTTTTTTGCCACTGCAAGCTTTTTCATGTCAGTATTTCAAACAGAATTTTTCCTTAAATTTAAGCGCCATTGTTTCTAGCTGACTTTCAGTGGTTAACATCTTTTCCGTTGCATGTAGGTGGATTTTTGATTCAGAAAAATTGAATGCTAGGTGAGTTTGATTTTATGTTGGTATTTATGCTGATGCAAAGTTTAATGGAAGCAAAAGCACGAAATTAATTTCTAATGAAATTGTGGTGGAGTTATTTTGCATATTTATTAGGTTACAACTTTGCAAAAGTACATACAAGCAATCTACAGTATGTCTTTTCAATTATCTGAGTATAAATTCTTTGTTTAATGGACAAAATAAATCTAACAAACAGAGGCTATATACCCTTTTCTCTCTCTGCCTTTTAGACATGAGTAGAGTTAAACCTATTCCATCATTTTATTTAATGGTATGTATCAGACCCAAACTGACCCTTCTTGCCTCTAGGTAAAGCCCTGTGCAATGCCATCTAAACCAAACAATAGAAGCTCATCATCTCAGCCCACAGGCAGCTTTACAAGGGAATTGTAACACAGAGAAACCCCAACCTTCCATCTTTTATCAGCTGATCACTTCAACATTCCATCTCCTTCATCAATGGACTTCCCCAGCTCTGCTGCCCTCCTGAAAGGCCCATTTTCCCCAGCAACAGAATGCCAAATATATTGACAAGGATCTGCCCAGAGGCTAGGAAATCAGGTTGCTAGGATTTTCCACCTTGTGGCCCTCAACATCTATAAAAATCTTCGCATTTCCATCCTTCAGAGTCCTTCTTGTAAAGGTGGCACCCAATGATTGTTGTAACAAAACCTGGCTTTCTTCAATGTTGTGCACCTTCAGATTGAATCCACAAAATTTGCTCTAGTATTTAGTAAATGCTCAAGTTCTTTCTCTTCACTAGAAAAAAGAAAAGGAATTATATATTTTCTGCAGAAAATAATGCTTTCCTTTGTCTCGACAACAACTTGGTCTTTCAAAAGAACATCTCCGCAGAGTTGCTATGGTTATGTTTTCATGGAATTGGAAGGCAGAGTTTTTGAGGAACATTATTATTTCTAGACATATGCACAAAGACCCACATTAGAACAGACTTGAATACAACAAATATGAAGAAGAGATAAATATTCACAAAGTAAATTCTTCAAGATTCTGGCTTACCCACAAATGAACAGCATGTTAATACAGCTGTGTGCCTGAACTTCTGGTCAACAGGCGCACTTAAATTTTTTTTCCAACCCTGTCCATGCTTTGTTTACTTTATCACCTAAATTAGAAACACTGGTGTATGCCTCTTGGAACAAGATAAGATCTGAAGATAGTGTGTGACAGGGTTATATCCATTCATTAATGACCAGAATTCTGAAAAAAATTGTTTTACCATTCTCTGTAATTGTGACATTTTGTTTTTCTTTAATTTATTTTAAATATTTCTGTAAACAGGATTCTTCCTAAGTTTTGGGAAAAAGTAATAAATTCTGGGTGCTGGAATGTTTACTAGTCATCAGAAACATTTTTAATCTGCTTGTAACATCCTCTCCAAAGTTCTGGCAATCATCATACACTAGGCAAAGTGGTCCACAAGAGGAACAAAGGCTTTGTTTCATTGTTCTGACTTTATTAATAGGATGGATAGTTCTCCTTTTGGAAAGGAAATTAGCAGACTTTAAAAAGTCAGCTGAAATATATCTAACAGGGTCATGAAAATCCCACACTCCCTCTACTAGTAAATAATTAAAAAAAAATAGTCTGTAGTGGAAATTTGCCAAAGTAGAAAATTGAAACTGCTTTCTAAGTTTCCACAAAAAAAGGATTAAAAGCTTATCTAAGATTTTTTTTTTTTACTAAGTGCTCTGGATTTTACAAACTCTTACTAGTAGACTTTATAAGCTGAAAAATGATTTTTAAGGAAGATGACCTTCAGCAGTAATGCATTTCTTAGACTGCTTTCACATTTAACTTGTGTAATTACATTCACAAAGATGCTGATTTTTTATACAACTACAAGGGTCTTTTTTGGGTGAGTTTTTCACATGAGTAATTATGGAGCATATAAATAAACATTTTTTTAACATTTTTTTTACAAAAAACAATTCCATACTCTTAATGTCTTCTAAGTAGACAGCTAACTCATAAATTCTCATTTACAATTTCATTATTTTGAATTGTAGAAGCCAACAAAGACCAAAGAAGTGGAATATTTCAGAAACAAATAACTTGAATTAAAATAACTTTAAGAAATGCCCTTTTTTGTTCTTTGCACGAAAAGTATTGATAAAATGTAATTTAGGACTTATATTGAAGAGGGCAAAGATTAGCAGCCACATTTAAGACAGTAAGTAGAATCTTCTTCAAGATTCTTGATGATTTCATCACTGCTTCCATGTAATTTTATTGGCAACAATATAAAAGTTATTTTCTATTGTCTTCAGAGTTTTGCTTTGTTTTACTTCCCAGACTAGCTCCAGATCTTTTATTTCCTGGTGCTCTCTCATTAAAGAAGAACCAATAGGGATGTGCAAAAGGCAGTCTTTAGGAAGAATGAATTTTATACACAACTACTAAGTCCACTCCTAATATGCTGTCAACTAGAAGGATGTTTAAAAATACAGCATGTGAAAAAAAATCTGTACTGAAAGTTGCTTTTTTAAAAACTTGCTTTTCTATTCAATGGGATTATGAGACAGCATATTGAATTTTGTATTAAGTGGAAAAAAACAACAATTGAAAACTTACATGGTTTTATTCCAAACTATTCAATTATATCCTTAAAAGAGCACTAAATAATATATACTAAAATGGGGAGGAGGCTTAACATAAAAGGAATGAGCAACATATTTCTCTACTTTTTTTTTTTTACAATGAACACAAATCAAATTCTAACCAACAATTTAAACTTAGAAGTATAGAATAGCTTTGCTTGAACTTGCCTTTTCACAAATAAAGCATCAATTCAAAGACTGAGAGGTGAGAGCTCACTAAACTAATATTTCAAATTGATACAAGTTTTTTTTTCCCATGAGCTCATAATCACATTATTTTGCAGCAGTCCAAAGGCAAACAGTCCAAATAGACAAATTCTAATGTTTGGGAATATAATTCAACATCATGATGTCTTTAAACCTTAAGATCCTTAAACTGACTGGTGCACCATAGTAATAATACCTAACCGAAAAAGAATTACCAGTGGAAAGACTAGGACACACTAAAATAAAATTTATTACATTTCCAGCATAGGAAAGATAATAATCTTTCTTGAAAATCCATCCAGGAATTCAAAAATTTCCCAAAAGAATATTTTGAGCTACCTAGTTTTCAACTGTAAAAAGCCAATATGATTAATTTCAGCAACCACATGCAAGAAAAAGGATCTCCAAAACATTCTGAATCAGCCTTGTGATTTAGCATATCACAAATAGTGAAAAAAACAGTGTGAATTGAGACTGCTACTATGTTTCACACCTCAGTAATATAAAAGGCACAATTAAGCCAAGCGGGGGATATATTTGTACTATAAAAGCAACCCATCAGTACACTATTAGGAGCTAATGATTTTAAAAGATTATGAGGTAACACATTGAAAATCTCCTGGGAATAGAAAAGTTCCTCAAATGAAATGCTTCTCAGGATTGATATAACAAAAGGGAATAAAGGACAGATCAGTTACATTCTGTAGGCAAGATAGTCCAAAAACAAATTAATTCGACAAGCGTTGCCAGAGAACTTTGCATTGGTCACTATTTAGCTCCCTGCCCCACCTTCCTTTAAAACAGGAGAGTCCAAATTTGTCAACTGTAAGTAAGACTTGTGGACTTCAACTCTCATAATTCCCCAGCTAGCCTCCTGGGGGAATTCTGGGGGTTGAAGTCCACAAGTCTTAACAGTTGTCAAGGTTGGGCACCGCTGCTTTAAAGACTCTTTTTTAAAGTAGTGAAAATTAGCATGCTCAAAAGTACTTTATTCATGGCCTTTTTAAATATTTACACATGGGGAAGGCTGAGCTTAAGTGGGGGGGGCAAGAAACAGTTCCACCAGATGGTTTGATTTCAGACCACAAAGCAATAAATAAATATCACCCCTTTTTGATTTTTGTTAAATGCATTTTATTGGCCAGGTCGTCAGAAAGGCTTTTTGCTAAAACCTTCTGAAAATCACAAATTTTCAAATACAGCTAATATATGTGTGTGTGTGTGTGTATGTATATGTATCTGTATGTGTATGTATATTTTATATGTATACTGGTATGCATATGTACATGTTTATCTTTTTGTTTAAAAGCAGACAATTCTTTTAAGGTGTAAAAATAAACAGTCAGCAAAAACCAAATCAATTCTTCTCTAGAATGGCTAGGATAAAAATATTCTTTAAAAATGCAGCTTTGGAAGGAATAGCGAAAACTATTCCTGATCATTTTTTTTCCACATGCAACCACATGCAACCCGTCTTTAAATTTTGCCGATCTCGTAATTTTTTAATGTGTTCTTCGCCTCCCCGAGTCTCATTTGCGAGACGGACGGCCCTACGCACGACCACTTCCCAAAGGCGGATGGAAGGGAAAGCTCTCCCCAAAACACCACACAAAACCAAACATTAGGATCGCGCTCTTCCAAACGCGTCTCGCGAGAATCACCGAGAGGGCGGGTTTTCTTAATCGGCAGCCCCAGCTGTGTATCCCCAGGGCGGTTGACATAGAAACCCAGGTAGCCAAGCGAGCCTGGGTCTTAGGGACGCGCCCGGCTGGTTTATTCCCCGGGTCGTCCGAACGCCGAAGGAAAAGCAGCCCGATTTTCGCGCGCAATCGATCCGCGGGAGCATGAGAAGCGCTGGCAGTTCCCGTGCGGGCTCTGCCTGCTCCAGACTCATCGACGTGACCAGCAACGCACCGTTGCTGCGCTCGCCTGACAGCGTCTCAGCCTCTTCCGAAGCGGAGGTATGCTCCTCGCTCAGGCTTGCATTCCCTAGATCCACATCTGCGGCGTGTCTGGAAGTCGAGCCGGGGGCAACTGGACTTCTTTTCTTGTGGGTTCGAAATAAGCAGCGAAACGTTTCGAATCCATAAAGAAAAAAAAAAGGAGTCCACTCAACTTCCCGACGGCTCTACCTGGATGGCTAAGAATCTTCACCAAACACCTGCCAGGTAGTTTGGCCGAATGGATATTTTTCTAATATTTATTCGGGGCGCCCACTGGTAATTCTAATTCTTTCTGTGTAGCCATTGTGTTGCATCCAGCAATTTTCCTGATTGCTTATTTGTACCCTATGCCTATCATCAAGTATTGTGCCTTATGATTCTTGCTGAAGGTATCTTTTCTTTTATGTACACTGACAGCCTAAACACCAAGACAAATCCCTTGTGTGTCCAATCACACTTGGCCAATAAAAAAATTCTATTCTATTCTATTCCATTCCATTCCATTCCATTCCATTCCATTCATGACTTATATACCGCTTCACAGTGGTTTACAGCCCTCTCTAATCGGGTTTACGAGTCAGCATATTGTCCCCAACACCTTCTTGATCTCTCTCTCTCTCCCCTCACCCCAGCCCCCCCCCCCCCAAAACCCAAAAGTTCTGAATCTTCATTTGCCACTCAGAAGCCTGAAATCCATCTGGTGTCCCTTTCCTCCTTACTCTTTTTTTTTTTCCTGAAACTGGATAGGGGAAAACTTGAATCTGTTTGCAAAATGTAAAGCCCGTATCTTGTTGAGATACAAAGCAGCATGTGGCTTATTTCCCAGATTTTAGCGGCTAAGAAGATCTGAACAGTATAGTTTTTAAAAAAATCTTCTGGTGAAAGTAACCATTACATCAAAATCTGATTTATTTTATATTTTTACAATTAGACAATTATTTCTTCATGATAGATGTTAACTACTACAGTTACACAAGTAGCACTAATCCATCATGTCAGAATGATAGAACATGGTTACATAACATGGTTACATTTTTTTACAAAAAGCCACACTATTAAGCAGAATAGGGGATGTCTTACCTACTGAAATTCTTCAGCAGATAAAAAAGATTGACATCTAGTTAATATTAGAATTCATGCCCTAGAGGCCTCTCTGGGTTACACATATGCCTAGAAAAGAGACCTATGTTGAACATGTTGTGTTGAATCTAAGTTCCATCATCCATTATCCATGATGACTAGTGGATCATAGGAGTTGTAGTCTGGGACATTTGAAAGGTAACCATATTAAAAAGCCTGCTTTAGCCAATAAATGGATGGCGGGGGAATATTTTCACATATAGTGATAATTATCTAATTTGATCTATTGCTTTATGACAATAAGTACTCATAGAGCTAGTTCATTGTTGCACTGGACTCAATACAGCAGCATGATATATATTTTTTTTCTTTGAAATCTATGGAAAGTGTTGCAATGCCAGGCTATATTTTACCAATTTACATATTGTAAATCTTTACACATTTTCATAGGACTTTTAAGTCTTCCATCCACATTCTTCCTTCTTGGGAAGAAACCTGCATACACTTTATGATTACTTATGCCTTGTCAAACCTATAAGATTTTTGTATTTTTCTCAATCTCTTTCAACCTTAAGGAATAATTAGTTTTAGTTTTCTTTGACGTTGAACTTTTTGATCTTTTCTTAATCATCTCATGGCTCAAGAAGTTTCTCAGTATTGGCAGCTCCCAGGAGAGTAATCTTACTCAGATCTAAGAATATTTCTCAGACTTCAATCTGTAGATTCAGAATGTTTTTTCAGAAATTCCTGACATTATATCAAGAAATGAAAACTATGTGCTACATGTTAATTTTAAATATTAGTATGTATAATCATGTCATATATGTACCATACTTCAAATTAAAAAATATACTTAAAAAGTGAGGTTGCCCAGTAATAAATCAGATTCTACATTGAAAAACTCTGGAGGGTGGGCAAGATATCAAACTTTATTTTGGGCAAAGACCAGTATATGTTATTTAAGGTATTCAGCAGCCGACAAATACAAAGTGAGTGGGAAGTCAATGAAAATATCAGTTATAGTCTAAAAACATATAAAGCGGGGTTGGATTCAATTGCTGGCAAATAATCATGTCATATTTGAAATAATTGGTCCCATCCAAACATAGCTTTGAGATAATAAGAAAAGCATTAGTATGTACCGGTAACATATATTTATTATTATTATTGTAAAGATTTACATACTATAGGTCTTATATTTTATCTCCAGATTGTATCAGCTGCTATGTGAGGAAATATTTTAAGTTTATTAAATTCATAAGCTTCTCAACTCCATTATATGACTCTGGGCATCATGCAGCATTGTATACAATATTTAAAATAAAATGTTTTATTTATGTATTAGTTTATCCCACCTTTATTACTTTATAATGTGGCAAACATACATAACATTCCTTCCTCCTCCTATTTTCCACACAACAAGAACCCTGAGAAGTGGGTTGAGCTGAGAAAAAGTGACCAGCCCAAAGTCACCCAATCGGCTTTCATGCTTAAGATGAGATTGGAACTCAGAGTTTCCTGGTTTCCTGCCTTAACCTGTGAACCAACTGGCTCTTTGTTACAATTACTCTCAAATCATTTTATTTATTTATTTTTCCTTATCATATTAAAAAGATTCTCATAATCAGTTTTGGAAGTTGGTGACCTAAATCCAGGGCAGTCAGAAGCCCTAGTATCTTTACTTCTAGGTTAGGATGTAGCCACTGTATTATCCATCCATAAGAAGGAATGACGAAGCTGCCCAAAGGTGCTTTTCTAAAAGGCAACTGGACTTCCTTGATTTTTTTTCTCTTTGAAAACATTTCACTTCTCATCCAAGAAGCTTTTTTAGTTCTGAAATGAAGAAGCTTCTTGGATGAGAAGCGAAATGCTTTCAAAGAAAAAACAAAGACAGTTCAGTTGTCTTTTAGAAAAGCACCTTTGGGACAAACATGACCTGGATGATGGAGAATCTCCATAGAACGAAGAAGCTAATTGGTTACTTTTTAGTATAATTTGCTTCATTTAAATTTCAATAATTTGGGACAATAACGGCGATCCCAAGTTCTCTGCTCTCCAACCACAGGATCTTTAGACTTATTGATCGGGGATTTATGGGAGATGTGGCCCAAAGTATTGGGCAACACAAGGTTGGGGAAAGCTCTTCTAATGAAAGTATTGGAAATAATGAAATTGCCTACATTGTTTCTTAACGTTTCATTGTATGTACATCAATACTTTTAGGTTAAACATTCACTTCATAGGACACTATTTCAACAGCTGTGATACTTTGCATAATGCCCTAACAATTATAGTTTCAATTATATTTCGGTACAGTTTTATCTTTCGGCATTCAAGGACTGAGCTGTTTCTTATTAAACATAGCAAAGGGAGTACATTTATCTAAGATTTCTGGTTTTCTGCTCTTTATCTTTCCTTCACCCATGCTTTGATCTAAAGTTCAGAGAAACAGAGAGAGATTTTTGTTTAGCTTTCTCATGGGATCCTTCCAGGTCAGGGCCCTGAAATTAGGATGTTAAATGTAGGATAATGCATCAACTACTTGCAGATACAACTTCTATATAGCTCTGAAAAAAAGTGGGGTAGGGATAGTCGACATAGTTGAAAAGTTTATTCCCTTTATCTAAATATTGCATTTTCCTCTATTTTTATAGGAAAAAAATACATTGTGAACGTGTTGAATGTTGATAATAAATGTGGTAACTTCCCTATTTTAAAAATAGTATTCCAGATACAGAAACGTGTTTATTTATTTGGCCTAATTCCAGCTTATGAAGGCATTGAAGAACTTCAACTGATTATATGTGACTTAACTTATATTATGATGCCACAGGTTCAGAATAGATACAATGCCTAATTGCTTATGTAGGAATGCTATGGAAGACAATTAGTAATTCTGGCATTGAAAGTTGTATAATATAGCAGTTAATATGGATAATGTTTATGAGACTAGGTAATGCTTAGATGATGCAGTTTTTTGGGGAAAAAACCATGCATGTTTTTCATGGATCACCCCAACAATATAGTTCAGTATTTCTCAACCTCAGAAAGTTGAAGCCGTGTGGACTTCAACTTCCAGAATTCCCCAACCAGCATGATGGCTGGAGGATTTGGGCTGAAGTCCACCTAGTTTCAAGTTCCTGAGATTGAGGTACACGGAGGTAACTTGTTTAATTACCTCAGTGCACTTTTAAGTTTTAACAGAATATTAAATAGAAATTCAACATGTATGCAATAAACTATTCCCTTTTGGGATAAGTAATATTATGCAAAAATGCAGAAAAGAAATAATAAATATTAACCCGGAGAAATTGAAGGCATGAGGTAAGAAAATGAAATATGATTAAATCTGATTTTTTTTCCTAACCACATTCATTTTATCTCTCCATAGTTTACTGTCCCTACAAACCATATACTGTTTTCAATCATTGCCTTTTGTTCTTTAAAAAAGAAAAACATTCAGCAAAGAGGATTTTTCCTAGGGTTAAACACAGGGGTGAAATGCTCCTGGTTCGGATCGGATCGCCCGATCCGGTAGCGATGGCGGCGGGTGGTTCGGAGAACCGGTAGCAAAAATCCCTGCGCCCCCCCCACCATGCCCAGCTGAGCCGCACGATCATCAGAGGCTTTTTTTTTTACTTTTAGAAGCATTTTTTCTATAACCTCTTCCGACGAAAAAATGCTTTTAAAAGTAAAAAAAAAAAGCCTCTGATGATCATGTGGCTCAGCTGGGATTGTCAGAGGCTTTTCAAAGCATTTTTTCCTGCAATCTCTTGGCTGAAGAGGTGGTAAAAAAAATGCTTTGAAAAGTCTCTGACGATCCCAGCTGAGTTGCCTGATCAGCAGAGGCTTTTCAAAGCATTAGAAAAAATGCTTTGAAAAGTTAAAAAAAAAAAAGTTGGCCATGCCTACCCAGTCACATTACCCCCCACCCCACC